CGTGGAACCGCCTTTTAACTACTTTTGTTACCAGATCCTCCCTGACGTGGTGGTAGCACCTGTTAATATCCCAGCTATGGGCAAATAGTATCTCCAACCCCCAAAAGCCAGTCAACGGTACATTTTTATAATAAAACAATTTTTGTAGTGAAATTATCAAAAACAATTACCAACAATACATCTTATCTATAAACTCTATATGTAAAAAATATAGTTTTATATTTCATAATTTTATACTTTCAGGGCAACCTGAAAGTATAATCTATGTACAAAATATCCGTATTTGAAGACATAAAACTGCGTTAAAAATATTCAAATTTTTTAATTAAATAACCCATAGAGATGTTGATATACGACTAATCAAGATCAACCAAGCAAATCGACATAAAGGTACACTGCACATTTTCAGCATGGTTACTCGTTTTAGAGCAAGCTAGTCCGTCAAAGCCCATTTGTCTTTCTCCAGCACCCGCAAAGCTAATATGTGTCTTATACTGTAACTATGCCAAGAATGTGTCCCGCCAGGGTCAAATATAGTTTTGAATGCAGAGTATACCACGGTGGAAGTTTATCCAGGATAACACAACAATTGTACCTCGAAAGACCTGAACTGCCAGAACCTAGCAATTGATCTCTCCTCTGACCTAGTGGCTCAAGGGGATAAGAACTGGCTTTTAAAATTCAATACGCCCAAAACGAAACTAGTTAACGTTCCACTTTCACGTATCACGATGGGTGGGTGTTCTCTGAAAGTGGCCCTTTGCTTTGAACGTCTACTGCGACTCAGGCTCACTCCAGATCTCAAGTTGGACTCATATATACGATCTGTTGCTAAAGATGCCGGAAGAAATGGAGTATTGCTTCCATATCTGGGCTGGAGCTGCCTAGATCTCACGGGCTGTCTAATCTTAAAAAGCGTCTAAGTGGCTTTGTGAGTGACGAAATTATTTTCCATTCTACCACCCGTTTCCCAAAGGCGAAACGTCAGAAGCATCTTCCCCCGCTATAGTTATTAGACTGGTAAGTGTCCTGATGAGCTACATTACTTGGTTCCACGAGCTCTGGCCTTTGCAGCTGGGACTTAGCATGCTATGTACACAAGGATGAAACATCTTTATTCCTTTCGTAATCTTTTTAATCATTTCACCCCAAGAAAGTCAAAAATACCTCTAGGACGCAGAGTGTTACAGGAAGTGAAAGAGAATGAGAAGATTTTAGTGAAGAAAAAGGACTATAGAGGAACATGATTCAGGAATCCAGAAGATGGCGATTGACGTTGCAGGCAGCAGGGAAGCAAGAAATTGGAAAGGAGCTCTACAGGCAAGAGGAATGAGAAAAGAAGCCATTAGAATAGAACTTATGGTTGCATCTAGCTAGTGCAACAGTAAAACGGTGAGACCTAATTGTCAATTCCATTAGTAAGAAGTTCCACCAGCGTATTCCCAAGAACTTCTAATTTTCGGCACATACTCCCACCAGAATGTTTACCAGATCACTACAATCTTGACCTCTTCAAGTCTAGGTTTAACCGATATATTTCCTGCATAGCCATACGAACTTCACTTCTTGGCTTTTTTTCTTTTCTTTTGCTCATAAAACATCACACAGTAACCTTCTACTTTGAGTGGCTCTTGAGCCTGATATTGGCTGAACGTTGGTAAAAAAAAATGGTCACGAATGTAGTCTTGACGATAATGAAATCACATAATTGCAATTATAATGCTCCAGTATTGTCCTCTTAGCTGGAGTCAACTAAACGTGTCAAATTTGCCTTCGCGAGATGATCTACAATGACTTGCTCACCTACAGAAATAACGAGTTTTAACGAGTTATTCTGTACTTTTGCTTTCTGGAATGTGTTCGATCCACACTGGATATATGAGACGCTAGATCGGGTTACTTTTGAAAGCGCATATCTACTAAATGTTATAGTTCGCTACTTGAAACTTTTTAGGCTATTTTAAAAAGCATAATAAGCTCGTCTACTAAGGAAAAGAAAGCTAATTCAAATTTTAATATGGCTGGCCTTTCAAATGATTGCTATTTACATTCCATTCAAGCAAATTTGCTGGATATCCAACGTCTGTGACTTTGAGCCGAACAAAACAAATGTGGTGGTAGGGACTTTGCTTGTTGGCTGAAGTAGTTTGATCTTTTCTCTTTTCCACTGGTGCTACCTTTTGGAGTTCAAGACTAGTTTTTTATAAAATCAATATTTTGAATGTTGTTTTTCAAAATAGGCAAGTTTTCTCACTTGTCAACATTTCGTCTTTTTTCTATCTATAAACCTCAATTAAGCTAATCATTGAAATGTTCTTAATTAAATTCACAATATCGCTTGTAATTTAATCCTGGAGCAAATAATGTTTTATGGTGAAAATCTCTAATTTCAGTTCAAATCGGAATATATGCAGAATGATTTAAAGAAAATTTATTCAAGATTATTTAAAGAAAAATACTTATGCAAGATTATTCAAATAAAAATTATGAAAAATATTCAAATAAAATATGAATTATTATTTAAATAAAAAATTTATGCAAGATTGTTTAAATAAATATGTGCATAAGATTATTTTAAGATGTATTTATGATTCTTTAAAATAAAAATTTATACGTAGTGCGGCAGAAATATCTCCCATATATGCCTTCCAGGCATACCTTCCACATCATGGTAAGACATTAGCTAGATGAAGACACCACTGTATTCCTGGGAAGTATATGCGGGAGGTATTTCTGCCGTATCCTCTATAATATTATTTAAAGAAAAAATTATGCAAGTTTATTTAAAGCAAAAATTACGCAGGATTATTTAAAGAAAATTTATGCAAGGTTATTTTAAAAATATATGCAAGGTTAAAGTAAAAATTATGTAAGGTTATTTAAGGAAATAATTATCCAAGGTTATTTAAAAAAATTATGCAAGATTATTTAAAGAAAACAAAAATTATGCAAATTTATTTCAAGCAAAAATTACGCAAGATTATTTAAAGAAAATTTATGCAAGGTTATTTTTAAAATATATGCAAGGTTAAAGTAAAAATTACGTAAGGTTATTTAAAGAAATAATTATGCAAGGTTATTTTTTTTAAATATATGCAAGTTTATTTAAAGAAAAATTATGCAAGGTTATTTAAAAGATATATGCAAGATTATTTAAAGAAAAAAATTATGCAAGATTATTTAAAGAAAACAAAAATTAAAAGTTTATTTAAAGTAAAAATTATGTCAGGTAATTTAAAGAAAAAAATTATGCAAATTATTAAAAAATATGCAAGGTTATTTAAAGAAAAATTATGCAAAGTTATTTTCAAAACTTATACAAGTTTATTTAAAGATATCAAAAATTATACAAGGTTAAAGAAGTTAATAAGCAAAAATAAAATCCCCAATTAAAATAAAAGCTACTTATTAAACACCTTGTGTGTTTATTTATTTGTTACCAACCTCTAGACAAACTGAAGTAAGAAAAATTAAAAGCAGCTACTTAATCACATAAAGGTCATCACTTGACCTGAATAACGGAAGCTTCGCAAGGTGGTATGATATCTATCAAAGTGCCAGATTTGTTGCATATATATATGTATCTCTAATTGCTGATTTTTTGTTTGGGCATATCTATCCCAGCATTTTCCAGGACGATCCAAAATGAGTTCTGTTGATCCGCAGGGAATTTAGAGAAATCTATAACCCTTTTCATACTCAGTCAGCAACCTTGACATATTTTGGAAGGATATTAAAATAATCAAAAATATATACTGACAACAAACCGCCGGCGTACGGATTGAAAATGAGTTCAGCTGATATACAAGAATAGTAAGACAATGATGTGTCGTCTCACCGGACTTATTCAACCTATACAGCGAAGTGATTTTGAGAGAATTACAAGTCTATGAGACATTACTGGTGGCCACAATTTTAACAACATGAGATATGCAGATGACACAATGTTGATAGCAGACACGGAAAGAAAACTACAAAAGCTCCTACAGAACTTAGTGAAGGAAAGTGAGAAGAAAGTACTAAACATTAACTGCAAGAAGACAGACTGCATGGTTGTTAGCAAAAGCATGAATTCAAAGTGCAAATTGCAAATCAGAGATACCAAAATCAAACAAGTACAAAAATATCTAAGAAGTGTTTTAACAGAGGGTGGAAAGTGCGGCACTGAAATCCGAAGGCGCATGGGTATAGCGAAAGATGCCTTTCAAAAGCTAAGCAGAGTCAGTCAGTTATGTGCCATGCGTAATACACGCTTAGGCGATCATCTATCTTTCGATACATGACTGACGAGACAGATTTTTTTTTACCCGCAGTAGGTTGCCATTTCTTTTTGCGGTAGACCAGTTGCCATCGAAGGCTATAGAACCCGATCTGTCCTGCTATCTACTCATAGCTGGCGGATAAGAAGAGGATTCCCAAGGATATTAGCACGTAAGTGAATGTAATAGATTCGACTGGAATTCGAACTCGACTCTCTGATTCCTCAATGCGAGCCGCTATCCATTACTCCAGCGTATTAAGAAATAAAAAAAAAACTTCGCAAGAAACAAGGAAAAGAGTACTAAACTGTTACGTGATATCTCTCCTCCTGGGCGATCGACTCACAGATGAAGAAGAGAATTAAAGCAACAGAAATGTGGCTATACAGAATGAAGCTGAGGATATTATGGACCGAACATGTGAGCAACGACGAAGTTTTAGCGAAAATGGAAACAAAAATGAATTTCTTGGTTACATCATGAGGAAAGCGGGCTTGGCATATCTGATACTCAGAGGAGAGATTGACGGCAAGAAGAACAGATGCCGCTTAAGACAGAGCTTTAGTGAATAAGGTGTGTGGGATGTGAACGTAAGGGGATGAAGTAGAAAGTGACGATTACGAGGATATGGTGAAAATATAATGATTGATCCTAGACTTGAAATGGTAAAGATTTCAGTTTTCAGGCTCTCCAATAAAAACATTCTAGGCCGTTATCAATTACACCAACTGCACATCCAACCTTGCAACACTTGGTATTCGGAAACGGTCACCCATCTAGGTACTGATCAGGCTCGACGTTGCTTAACTTCGCTGATCGCACAGGGACAAGTATTTCAAATGGTTTGTTCCATAAAGTTCTTCTGAACAAGCTTTCTGGGTGTAGCATCCTTCTTACCAAAGGAATACGTTAGGAATGCTGGTGATTCAACTCTGTGGACGTAACAAGGTGAATTTTGCTTGAAGAGGTCTGATATGATAGAACTAGGAGGCACAGTGGCGTAATGGCTCGTATTGAGGAATACGTGTTAATACCCTTAGGAAAGGTATTAATCGTCTTCTTATCCCTCCAGCTATGGGTAAATATCAGGAGAGACCGTGTTCTATAGCCTTGGATGGCAACTTGTCTCTCGCAGAAAGAAATGGCAACATACTGCGGGAAAATTTCTGCCTCGTCAGTTATGTATCGAAAGATACATGATCGCCTAAGTGTGTATCACGCATGGCACATAACTGACTGATGATGGAACTAAAGAAAGGAGCTCGTCAGAGCCATTGCCATGGAAGTAACGATCGAATAACTACAGGCTTGCGATGTTGCGTCAGTGAAGAGGCTGTAGGGCGTAAATTAAGTTACCCCCCCCAACAAAATTACACAAACGATATTGAACTCTGTCAAGGCTAGAAAGTGAGGATTGAGCAACACCAGCTCGGCAGTACGCCTCTTTTGGTCTGATCTTATTCTTGCAAAGCTAAAACCTGGCAGAAATATCAGTTACTTTCTGGAACGAGACAAGGAGCCGACCATTTTCCCAATATCTTTATCTCTGGCTCGTATATATAAGTTATGGGAAGAATTTGAGTCCCAATAGACGTTTAAGACAAGGGAGCCTCCTTCAGAGTGAAATCAATCATCATGATTGGCGAAAATTCAGGGTCTACTCGGTGATGGTGAAACGTTACTAGTTTGGTTTTGGAAGCGAAAGGAGGAAAGAGAGCTTGGAAAATTTGATACTCACAGGACAGATTGAAAGTAAGCGTGACAGAGGAAAACAACGCGTAGCCTACCCAGCGAGCTTACGTAAATGGATCACACAAAAATGTTTAAGAGAGATAACGAAAATATAAAATTTATTAAGAGCTACAAAAGACAGGAAATTGTGGAAAGTCATGATCGCCAACGTTCTGAAAGGACACCATACATAGAAGGACAACTAAATATCTCAACTCACATAGACAAGCAGTTCGGAAAAGTAACGTCAATTCGTTTGCGTTCTGGACCGAACAACTCTGGATATTGTTTGGAGACTCTCAGCCAAAATTCAGATATATTTCTACCGATTTATTCATTTGCTTAATTAAGATTTTTTTAGCAAACAGCGACGCGTTTTCGAACCCACTTGTAATCCAGCTTTGGATCTTTTTTTAAATAAAAAACGTCATGTAATGCAGTAAAGCCACTAAGACACAAGGGGTTACTGAGTGTGAAATAATAAGAAAAAAGAGATGCATTATTAAGAAGCAAGAACAATACAAGGGTAATTAAGAAGACAAGCGAAACGTTGGAGAAAAGAAACTCTTAGCATAGAACTTACGGTTACATCTAGTCAATTCAACTGTAAATTGATGCGACCTTGCCGCCAATCTAGTACTGCACTTAAATTCATAGATACTATTGCGAAGAGTTCATGCAAACAGTCACCATGAAAGTATTTATAGAAAAGGCCAAGGGAAGCTATATTATGGCGGTGGGAAAGTGACTGAAACCAAGATGCCAGGTCAAGTTCAATAATACTGCTGTGTCTTCTTTGGATTTTATCAAGAATCTTTAAATATGCAGCTGAAGCACCGGACCATATGTGGCAGCAATAGTCAAAGCATGACTGTATGGTAGACTTATGAAAGATAGAATCAAGGGAAACAACTCTAGCACGAACATAGAGAACCAACTTTCTTAGCAGCAGAAGTAGCAATCTGAAAGAAAATAATCAGCAAATCGAATAGAAAATTACTGTTGCAGCAAACAGTACCACATTGAGCAAAATTAAAGTAAATTATACCTTCCACAATTACCTCCGAACTTACCTCCCACATAATAAGACATTAGCTAGATAAAGACACAATTATTTATTCCCCTGCTCAATCCATTCTGATCAACACAAAATATAAAAGAGCAAAGTGTGTCAATTTAAATGCCACAATAACTGCAGTGTTTCGCTGGGATAATGTTTCAGGTAAATATTTTAACCGAGCATATTCAGACTATCGCTTCCTTTTGACGCAGACTAGATGAGTCATTCGTTGCTGAGCAGTAGAGGAAGTTGTACGTGTTCATGTTATACCGTTGGTGAAAAATGAATGAAAGAAACCTGGATAGGCGAATTCTGTGTGAAGATTGGTATTGGCTTATGTTGGACACACTATGAAGAAGTGGAGAACTTTTGAGAGGCACGAACGGTTCAAGGAAGGGATAGAAAATATGTACGATGAGGTAAGATGGGAATAGCAAAAAAAAAAAGATGCAGACGTTGGTGCTCTCGGGCCGAATACTATACGTGCAACTGATAACAGAATTGGATATTAAATGAAAAACAGTACCATAGATTATAACAGACATTTTGGGAATTAGAAAAGTGATGCATTGGAAGGTCGCATACTTAAGAAACGAGCCACCGCCATATTTAATAGATTTAGACCCCGCTGTGATATTTTTCTCCAAAATCGAAAAATGCCCTGAAAAGACAAAGATTTGCTGATGTCCATGATATACGACAACACGTGACTACATTACTGACAGATAACTATTTAATCATTTCATCCCCAAGGAAGGGGAGAATGTCACAAAGACTCAAGGGGGTTACTGGGAGTGGAAGAGAATGAGAAACCTATAGTGAGGAGAAATAACAATAAAAAGGGTTCAGGAAGACAGAAAATGGCGATTTAAAGATTGCAGATGGCAGGGAAGACGGACATTGGAAGAGAGTTCCACAAGCGAGAAGTGCAAGAAAAAAAAACTAATAGAATAGAACGTACTGTTGTATCTAGCTAGTTTAACAGTAAAACGGTGAAACCTAGTTTCTTAAAATTATGCGGTCGAGGTACAAAGGTGGAAACCTCTTCAGAACAATTGGCATAAAAATATTTGTTGAAAAGACAGAGGAGAACCACATCACATCGATGGGAATGTGACTGAAGTCGAGATGCCAGGTCAGGATCGATCACATTACAGACCCTTTGTCAAGAATCTCGAGATATATACAGCAGGATTTCAAGACCATATATGGCAACAATATTCAATTAAAGGGCGATTAGCACATTTATAAATGTACAAGATGGATTCTGATGCGAAAAATTAACTGGCACAACATAAACAAGCATTCCTAGCAGTAGATATAGCAACTGATTCAATACAATCACTACACTTCATGTTAGTAGAAAAAGTGTACCCAAGAAGGCGCAAAGATTTCTTGAAAACGAGTTCTAAGAATGTTTCCGGCAATGGCACAATCATTTTTTTTTAACTTTTCACTCCAAGCAAGGCGGGAGTGCCACTAGCACGTAAGGGGTTACAGAAAGTGGGAGTAAGAATAAAAAGACGTGAAAGAGGAAAGGATGAAGAGAAGGACGGGGAATAGATCAAGGCATCTGAAAATGTCAATTGACATTGCATTTGAATAGTTTGAGATTATAACTATCAGGGAAACAAGTAAGAGGCAGGGAGTTCCACAGACGGGAAGTGCGAGACATGAAGCTATTGGTGTAGAAGATACAGCTACATTTAACCGTTTCGTCAGTGAAAGAGTGGGACTGAGATGCCGACCTAGTGGCACATTTAAATTCATGCAGTTTAGAAACTAGAGAAGATAGCTCGTCGGAACAGTTACCATGAAAGTATTTGTAGGAAAGACAGAGGAAGGCGACGGCATAACTTCAGAAGTGGAGTACTTTGACTGTAACAGCAGCTAGTATTGACTACGTAAGTAAATTTACCTTTCACATACCTTTTTGTATTACATCCTCACACATTGTGCTCAATACAAAGACACGTATTACACAGACACTTTTACATACTACAAATCAGTGTAAACGAGACAAGCAATAACTGAGCAGTACTAAATAAGAGCTAGACGGGTTATCTTCCCTGGACATGTGAACAGTCTACCCCGTAAATTAAATAAATTGTTTGGTTCGAAATTCCCTGAAGGTTACTCGGATCGACAGGCATCTGATGAAGGCCGGGGAGCCCAACAGCCGTAGCGTTGTAATAAGAACAATAAAGATGAGGAGAATAGTCCTAGTTTAAATAAGGTAAATAGAAATCAGAAAAGATATGTTTAAAATTCTAAGTAAGAAAAGTTTGATTAAAATTGCATAAGAATAGAAGGGGAGATATCTATGATATTTTAGTTTGATTGAAATATAACAATTTTCAAAGATCCTTGAAGAGATTTAATCTTGCGGTCTTTAGGATCAATTCTCTTATATCCGACGTTTAGAAAGGTTTTTTTATATTTTCCACAAAATGTTATTTTTTTTACAAATGATTTAATAAAGTGAACTATTAAAGCTTAGTGCGATTCAATCGTGAGTTTACCATTTTTGTTAATAAAATATTTTCTTGGCAGAAAGATGGTTGATTTTGTTTAACGGTATATCAACACCTACATGGGTTATTTAAAGCCGAAATAAAAATATTTTGAACACAACTTTATGGCTTCTTCTAAATATATTTTGTGCATAATTTTATACTTTTAGGGTAAAGGTATATTTTATAGATATATAGTTTGTAGATCATAAAATGCATTGTTGGTAATTTTACTATAAAAATGTATCTTCATATTTTTTTAGTGTTGCATTTAGTGTCAATTTACTATAAAAATGTACTGTTGGGTGATTACTATTTTCCCATAGCTGGGACCCTAACAGGCGCTACCACCTCGGGTCAGGGTGGACCTGGGTACATCAGTAGTTAAGAGGTTATTCCACTCTTCTCAAAACCTCCAATCTCCTGATCAGAGGCCTTGCTGCCGGATGTAGTTTATCGTCATACTTAGGACATCTTGGGAGAAAGATTAAATGAGTATTTTTCTGATATGTGATGATCGTTCTGTTTAGTAGGT